CATGCCTTTCCTTGCACCCCCACCAGTGGTCGCTGCGTTGTTCGCCATGGGCACTAAGCAATACGAAAACTTCTCTACCTTCGATTAGGGTTAATATGGTAAGTATAGTATACTTAATAAAATTATATATGTTTCACAATAAATACTTTGGTAGTAGGGTGTTAGTTAATTTTAGGGTTCGTTTATGTAACATCTAGGAAAAAAAATTATTATTTATTTATTTGAACTTAATTATGTGTTTGAGTGATTTTAGTGTGTTGGAGAGTATTTTGAGTCACTTGAGTGATAGAGAAACTGAATTACAAGAGTTTTGAACTTTCATTATCGGGTTGGGTGGATAGAGCAATTTTTCAAGTGTGGGTGTTTACTATTTTGTTTCCATTTTGAGTTTTTTTATGAGTTCCCATGATAGGTATGAACTTTAGAAGAGTTTTCAAAGCTTTAGGGACAATCTAGGAGTGTTAGAATGGTGGAAAACAACTTAAAGGCAAATCTTGAAATTTGAGTTTTCTGGGTAAGTTTTAGTCCGCGAGCCTCAATTTGGCTCTCTTTTTCTCCAAATCTTTCTAGTTATTGAGGAATCCATTAATTGAGTTTAAACGAGAATGGACATCTGATCACATGCCCAACCTCTTATGTATGTTGGTCATTGGATCTAATCTTGAACGAGCACTCAATCTACTTTAGGGGGGTTTACAAATGCTTGTGACATGCATGCACACTAAGCAGCTCGTTCTTGTCCTTCTTCTTGCTTGCTCGGTCCTGCTTTACCTTCCAGGGACCTCATGAATTGTTGCCGGTGCATTCGTCCATTCTTCTCTCTCCAAGGCCAAGGTTTCAGACTAAGTCAATCTGGTTGAGTAGCTGTCGAACCAAGTTGTTTTGGTCGTCTACTCTTTGAGTCAGCTAGTCAACTCTAACAATGAGATCTGCTTGACAATGTGGATTAGGAGGAGAGAATTTTTTGGAGCCCAATGGCACATGGGCTAGGGTTTCGTTAATGGTGTACACAAAAGCGTACGTCGAGCACGGCGGCAAATGAGAGAATGACTAAACTTGTTCCACAACGGAGCCAAAGTTGGCACCGGCGACAAATTGGTTATAAGCAATGATGTTGGGATGCACCATGGTGCCGTCATGGTGGTGAGCCTCCAATCCGGCCATGAGGCTGTTAGGACGATGGCTGGATCAAGCCGTAAGGCGATGAGGCTAGAAGTTTATAGTGTCCATGGGGTCATGTGCTTGAACCATGGTCTTGGCCATGGAGCCTTGTGGCGGTGCTAGGCTCACATTGCTAGCGCAATGTGGTGGAGAGGCAGTGATGGCTAGAACCATGGTGGCAGCCACGATTTCGGCAGTGGAACGTGGTGGAAAACTCAACGCCGCGCCATCATGATGGCTCGGACCAGTCATGGATTGAGTTGTAGCAACGACACGGCTTCTCGTGCACATGCTTCCAACCATGGTTGTTTGGAAGGCTTCAATTGATGATGAATATGAGGAAACAGATTCTTTTGATTCAAGAACACGCATTGAGTATAACTTGTACTCTCAATGAAAGCACCAAATATATTTGAGCAAATTTCCGCACCAGGAATATTCATGGGTTGATTCCTTGATCTTCGATCTTCCTTCTCTTTCTTCTCCCTTGGTTCCTGTACAACAAATCTAGCTCAATGGACCACACCTGGAGGGTGTTGGCCAAAAGCCCTCTGATGCGTAAGTTAGTTCGATTGGATCTTGAAAAAGATACGACAATAGCTAAAGTGGATAGAGTTTTGTCTCATGTTGAGAGCCAGGTGGCCGAAGCCATGTGTGGTGGCCAGAGTCGTGTGGGGAGGAGAGAGAGAAAAATTTTGGCTAGGGTTTTTGGATTAAAAAAAAATATTAGAATTCCTTGTGTAGCCATGTATTTATACGCTCATTGTACGTTAGGGTTTTGGGAGAATAATCCTTATTTGGTTAGGATTATTCTTATCCAAGAAGATGATAGGAATTAATCCAAGAGATTTGGTGGAAATTCGTTCCTTAATTTAGGGAGATATTCCTGTATTAAATAGGATTTAATTAGAATAATTAGTTTACCTAAGAAATATTCCTTTTCCACATGTCGTGTTCTTATTGGCCTGCGAAATATGTGTTTCCACAATTATTTTATGATGGAGTTGAGTGTAGGATTTGAGTTAAATATGAAATCTATGATATTCTTAATTATATAATTTTGTAGGATTATTAGTCTTAATAGATGTTGAATTTAAATTTTAATTCTCAAGTGATCGAGTGCTAGTAGTCATTTTTGATATAAGGGGGAGAAGTAGCGCCACAATAGAGTCTGAAAGATCAAACCCAACAGGGTGCATGGAGCACAAGAATGACTCCCAAGATTAATTGACAAAAAGAAACACAAAAGACTCTCAAGTTTATAGCAAACAAACCAACAAAAGAAGTACAAAACTTTGACCGAGGGGTTTACCTCAGTGGTGAGATCCCTCCCCCTCCCCCCCCCTTGGTCACCACTTCGAATCCCAGGAAAAGTGGTACCTCCCAAAATCGCTGCATTTAAAAAAACAAAAACAAATAAAGAAGTACAAAACTTTTGTCCTTAATCAAACCTGCAAAATAAGAAAATTGCATGTTCTCCCATAAAATTACAAATACTGCCGACAAAAAAGACTAGGCAACTTCGTAACGTAGCCACCGCCAATTAGTGTCAGTTCAGAAAGAGGGTGGAGAAGCTGCAGCAAAAGAAACAAAGAAAACAAAAGATGAGCAAAACAATAAGAAAAGGGAGACATCCTCTTGAGAAAATTGTAGACAAAGAAATTTTGGTGCAATAAATTCCATTGAACAAGAAAATAATTAGGGTTCGGTGGATTAAATTGTGGGCTCCATAATTGGCCCATATGGCGTGTGACTCATCAAAATCGGATTAGTTGTCAAAAAGTGACACGTGGTGACATCCGACGGAGTGCATGAAAAGGTTCAAGATGAAGACAAAATTAAGGGAAAGAATCTTCTGTGATTGACTTTGATTTAAATCAAATATTAATTAGGTCAATCAATTGAAGATAATCTGGTTAAATTGCCAGATTATGGGAGTTGATTTAAATCAAATCAAAATCCTACAAAACAAGGTTTTAAATACGGAAAGTTATTTAGGTCAAGCATCCTACAAGAGCCTATAAATAGAAGGCCTCAAGACGAAAGAAGGGGTTCAGAAAACCTAGCATTCAGAAGAAGCAGAAAACTCCTTACATTCTTCACCTACACTTTGGAAAAGCCACCAAGCACAACAAATACGTGCCGGTTCCTCCACCCTAGAAAATTCCAAACACCAAACAAGCCTTGTGCTACCCGTTTGATCAAGATTAAGTCTCTACGACCCTTGCATCAAACACAAATTTTCTTCATACACTTTCGAGATCGAATCAAAGGATTCAATACAGAGATTGTAACCCTAAATTTCATTAATACAAATATTATTTTGTACACGTGTTCTTGTCTCATTTGTCGTAGGAAATTCGTGTTTTCAAATTGGCACGCCCGGTGGGACAATCTCTACCTCTCATCTCTTTTTTCAGTTCCAAAATCAACCAACATGCCAAAAACGATTGCCTCTAAGAAGATTCAAACCATTCATGCAGGCGAAAGGGAAAAACATGAGTGCCTCCTTCTCAAGCGAAGATTCTGCTAGGGTCATCACCCGGACAAGGCCAAGGCAATATCTGCAACTCCACAGGTCACTTCCATACCGACTCAAGCCAAGGCAAAAGACGTGAACCGAAGGCGTGAGCCGGTTATCAATCTGACCTTCTTAGGGGCAAAGAAGAATATCTCCCGGGCAAATGAGAGAAACTCTCGGAAAGAAGAAATGAGTTTTTCGGGCTCGAAGAATTCAAGAGAACGTTCCCTCTCGCCTATTTCAGACACTGACTCGAGCACAGGCTCATACCATGGATCCCCGCCTGACGACCAACATAAGAAGATTGCCTCGGCGTCCATAGGTGAGTCTTATTCTATGGTCATGCATGCTATGGTCACGGGAGCAATGTCTATTGAAGAACAACTAACCCATATAAGCAAGTGGTCTGACGAAGATGGTCGAAGAAAAGGATGCGTAGATTGCTTCTCTCTTCAACAAGTGGGAAGTGCATTAAGATAATGAGCCTGGTCAACACGCAAACAAGAAATGACCACATCATGAGGCTAAATCCAACGAGAAAGGATTGGGTCATGAACCAGAGTCGGGTGAGAAGTCACACGGAAAAGTTGACGTCGCCTCTGTGGGTTCTTTGTTGGTTCAACAACTTCAAGACATGATCGTGAACACCATCAGGGTTCAATACGGAGCATCTTCCCGAGACACGCTCATGTATTCTAAGCTATACACCAGGAGGATAGACAACTTGCGGATGCCGACAGGATATCAACCTCCTAAATTCCAACAATTCGATGGAAAGGGCAACCCAAAACAGCATGTTGCACACTTCGTCGAAACATGCAACAATGCCAGGACAGAGGGTGACCACCTGGTGAAACAATTTGTTCATTCCTTGAAAAGAAATGTAGTTGATTGGTATACAGACTTAGAGTCCGAATCCCTTGACAGTTGGGATCAGATGGAGCGAGAATTCTTGAACATATTCTATAACACTCGTCGCACTGTGAGTATAATGGAACTCACAAATACCAAGCAATGGAAAGATGAACCTGTCGTCGATTACATCAATCAGTGGCGCTCGTTAAGCCTGGACTGCAAGGATAGGCTTTTGGAGATATCGACAATCGAGATGTGCATTCAGGGGATGCATTGGGAGTTGCTCTACATTCTACAAGAAATTAAACCCCGCACGTTTGAGGAGCTAGCCACGCGTGCTAATGATATGGAGTTGAGTATAGCTAGTCGTGAAGGAAAGCATGAACTCGTCATGTAGCAAAGAAAGGATAAAGTCTTTGGACAAAAGACAGATAATCCCGTCAAGAAGCCTACCAAGGAAACAATGACAATAAACACTGTCTCCATCAAAATCTCCGCCCGAGATAAGAAGAAAGAAGTCAAAAGGATGGAGCCATCTCGAGAGGTGGATAGACGTCGACGCACTTTGAAGGAGTTAGAGGAAAAAACGTACCCCTTCACTGACTCCGATGTCGCAGGTATGCTCGAGGACTTGCTTGAAAAGAAGGTGATTGAATTGCCAGAATGTAAGCAGCCTGAGGAGATGAACCGAGTCAACGACCCTAAGTTCTGCAAATACCACTGAATTGTCAGCCATCCGGTAGAAAAGTGCTTCGTCTTGAAGGAGCTAATTATGAACCTAGCCATGCAAGGAAGGATTGAGTTAGATGTTGTCGAAATCGCAGATGCGAATGTCGCCACAATTGTGTTTGGATTCTTCGACCCAGTGCCATTGCCTGTATTGTCAAAAAGATCGGAGTTTCAAGCAATAAGGGACCAACATCAGGTGACTAATCTGTGTACAAAAGAGGTGGCTAGTGAACCAAAAAAATCGAGGAGCTAATGGCTTTGTTGGTGACTCATCTTTCGATGACAATAAAGGATGGACGCTCGTTACTCAGCGGAAGTCTTGTACAAAGCGCATTCCTCAAAGACAAAATACTCAATCAAAAAGGGGGCGACGAAAGAGGAGTTCGCACAAACGCTCTAAAAGCAAAACCAGAATAATGGTGAGGAGAGATTATGACCAAGAAATTGGACCACTAACCCAAGAACCACGAATTCCAATTACGCTAGGATAATACTTTCCCAAAGTGTTCTTCGTAAGAAGACCAACGGAGACTGTTCATACGACAACTTGCTATCAAGGAGATGACGAAGATGTCTCGGAAGGAAGATTTGAAACTCATGAAGAGCAAAAGGTCTTGACGCAGCCATTGCACTTCAATATTGAGGAAGCAGTGGAACTTCCTGAAGCAATAAGCGTAGCCTTGGTAAATGCATTGATGGATCTTAATATTCATCCAAATAGAATAAGAGAGGCCAAAAAATTAGAACCTGAGTCTCAAGACCGTGCTATCTGTTGCGCGACATGTGCTTCCATCACATTCACCAATGAAGATCTTTTGTTAGGGTCCAAACCACACAACTATCCGCTTTTCGTGTCGGGGTATGTGCAAGAACATAAATTTAGTCGCATGCTCGTGGATGGAGTTTCAGTAGTAAACATAATGCCTAAGTCCACAATGACAAAGTTAGGCATCACCATAGACGAATTATCTCGAAGTCATCTCATGGTTCAAGGCTTCAATCAAGGGAGGCAAAGAGTCATGGGCATGATCAGAATTGAGCTCGTGATAGGTGATTTAAGGTCCAACAACTTATTTCACGTGATTGATGCCAAGAATTCCTACAATCTTCTCTTAGGAAGGTCATGGGTGCATGAAAATGGGATAGTGCCTTTGACTTTACATCAATGTTTCAAATTTTACAGAGGTGGAGTAAAGAAAATCCTGGGTGATGTCAAACCAATTACCGAAGCCGAGTCTTATTTCACCGATGCCAAGTTTTACATCGATGAAAACACTGAAGTTATTCCTACTGAAGTCCACTTGATAGGCAAGGCCATACCAAGAAAAGATGAGCAGTCAAAGTGTCTTTCCACTGAAAAGAATGGCGATAATAAGTCAAAAAGCACTGCCTTTGGACAAATGGGATCACCACCGATAGATTCACAAAAGGTATCTATTCCTGTTCTTCGTTATGTCTCATCATCCCGAAGGAAGGAGGGCCAATCCCCATTTGGAAAAGAAGTGAAACCAAGGAAGTTAGGGGAAAGTGACATGAAGTTCTTGAAGGAGTCTACAACCATGCATTTACCCAAGTTGAGCAATTCAGATGTGTCGAAATCTTCAGTACCAAGGTTCGTCAAACCATCATAAGATGCAACAAGACGTGAATATCTTTCGGTCAAAAGAACTAAAGAAGGTTTTGATCCTAATGCTTATAAGCTCATGTCAAAGGCAGGTTATGACTTCGGCTTATCTTCTTTGCTGGGGGAGCTTAATCCAGATGTCACAGGAGAAAGGACACATGGCCTTAGCACAACCTAAAAGAAGTTGAAGGAGCAAGGTTACACGATTGACTCAGCTATAGCAGGCCTAGGATTTACTCTTGTCGCACCTGTCAAGATCTCTGCTAGAAGAAAAGAAAAGAAGGCAGAAACTCAACACATTAGTGTCGAAGTGGTTGAGGAGGAAGAAGAACCAAAGGCTATTAAGAGAGCCTCAGTGTTCGACCGCTTAGCCAAGCCTACTCAGCGGATCTCAGTTTTTAACCGCATCAAAGAATCGACATCACGACATTCTGTGTTCAAAAGGATATATGGACATAAGACTCAAAGGAGAATCCAACCAGCTCCACACAGATTGATGCTAGAAAGACTCGGAGCACTAAGCAAGCCGTCTAAAGAGAAAAGCCAGCGAGAGTTGGAAAGTGGAGTTCGTATTGATTCCATAGAAGATAATGAAATCTGGAGCCTAATCCCGTCATGTATGAAACGTCACTCAACATTAGACATAACTTCAGGTGACCAACTCAAAGTGAAACGACAAACAATCATACAAACTTGGAAAATTTTGAGTCAACAAAATGAAAGTGACAATGAAGAAGCAAAGATTCTAGCTGTTCATCACATTACCATTAAAGAGCTCGATGAAGAGGAACCCTTTGAGGATGAGGTTCATGATGCTCCTGCTGCATTAGAAGATGGGGGCCAAGTGACTGTTGATGAATTAAAAGAGCTCAACTTGGGCACAAATAAAGACCCAAGACCTATCTACGTTAGTGCACTTTTGAAACCTAGCAAAGAAGAATCATACCATCAGTTGTTACTTGAGTATAAATGTAATAACCCGGTCCTTAATTAATATTCAATTATTAATTTATTCCAATAAAAGACCATTATACCCCTAGAATCTTTTATTGGTTTAAAGGTTGACTTTTTTACCGAGAAGGAATTTGGGGGTTTCAATTATACCGTTGTGTAGAACGCGACGAAACGAGTCTGCAGACATGTAGTGGACTCAAATCGGAATTGTAACGAAGAAGTTACGATCAAAAGAAGTTCAGTGGCATAACAGTAAATATTTCGAAGTTCAGTTTTTTAAAAACCCAGAATTCTTCTCTGTTGGCAGTTCGCCAGCCGACTTTATGAGAGAATTTCTCTCAGCTCCAACCACCAATTCGAGCAAGACCGGTGCCAAACGAACCACCTCACTCCCTTCTTTCAGTCTCAGCCCATCCCAGTCTCGATCCGCCGTCGTGGTCGCCGGAAAGCCCCACGAAACAGGGCGGTTTGGACAGTTTTTGATGGAATTTCACGGAGCTCGTTCGGACACCTCCGGCCACCAAATCGGACAAGTGAGGTATGGTTTTCTAGCTATTTTTCATGCTCTAGCTGTTGGTTGGGTAGGATTTCAGAAATTTCTAGCGTAGATAACTCGATCTTGGATCCAAAGTTTAGCTGGATTTCGGGTTGACATTCCGGCCACTTTCGGCTAGTTTTTGGGATAGGTCCAAGAACAAAAGTGGCTCCAAATAGGGTGTTACACCTGGGGTAGGAGTTTTGAGCCGTGATTTGGAGTTTTCCGGTGAAACGTTATTGCTTTAGGCACCATGCGCGGCTGGCGCTTGTGGCGGCGCGTGGACAGCAGGGTGGGAACCACAATTAGTCCTATGATAATCTCCCAGTCCTCATGAGTGCGTAGGATTTCGCAAATCTTAATTCGGATAACGTTTGAACCCCGAACGAATCTCACTAGTGTGTGATTTCCGGGTTCGATACGTTTGAACCGTTGAATCGCAGTCAATTTCAAGTATGTTGATCTAGGTAATTCCAGGATCGTATAGTATTTGACGGATCGTAAAACGGAGTCCCGGTTACTCCAGGAATGTCAGCCTTAGAGCGAGTTTTACAGTAAACAAACCAGTCACAAATCAGGAACAGAGAAAAGAACTACGTGTGGCTTGATCCCTCAGTAAGGGTACGTATGCAGCCTACAGTTATCAGGTGCAGCCACGAGTTAGAGCCTTGGAGTTCGTGTTACTGTTTTTCAGGGCATTTTGGTCATTTAGCACCCACACCCAGTGAGTGTCAGTTTTAAACAGGAGTCGGCCCGGATTTCAAAGTGGAATTTGGGTCGGGTCCTTTCAATAAAGATGTCTTTGCTTGGACATAAAAGGAAATGCCAGGCCTCGATCCAAAAGTTGTTGTCCATCACCTCGTAGTCAAACCTGGAACGCGTCCAATCAAACAAACTCAATGTCGCTTCAGTCCGAAGCTCCTAAGTCAAATCGAATTCAAAGTTGACAAGTTGATGGTCGCTGGATTTATTAGGGAGGTGAAATACCCGACGTGGATAGCAAACATTGTTTCGGTGAAGAAGAAAATCACTGGACAAATTCATATTTGTGTTGACTTCCGAGACTTAAACGAGGCTTGCCCGAAGGATGACTTTCCATTGCCCATAATTGAGCTCATGGTCCATGCAACCACAGGTCATAAAGCCTTATCTTTCATAGGCGGTTCATCTGGATACAATCAAATAAAAGTCGCTAGAGGACGAAGAACTCACATTCTTCCGCACCCCAAAAGGAATTTACTGTTACAAGGTGATGCCATTTGGCCTCAAGAATGCACGTGCGACCTATCAACGTGCAATGCAAACGATCTTTGGTGACATGCTTCACAAGAATGTCGAGTGCTATGTTGATGACCTGGTGATTAAGTCAAAAAGAAGAGAAGATCACTTGAAACACTTGAGAATGGTGTTTAACATATTGCGGAAGTACCAACTCAAGATGAACCCTTTGAAGTGTGCTTTCGGCGTCACGTCAGGTAAATTACTTGGTTTCATCGTTAAAAATCGAGGCATCAAAGTAGACCAGACTAAGATTAAAACCATCCGAGATATGCCCGAGCCATGAAATTTACTTGAGTTGAAAATTTACAAGGACATCTCGCGTTTATTTGGCCATTTATCTCAAACTTAGCAGAGAGGTGTCAGCCATTCAGTCGCCTTATGAAAAAAGATGTTTCATTTGTTTGGGATGAAGCTTGTCACAATGCCTTTGAAAGCATAAAGAAGTACCTATCGAGTTCACCACTGTTAGGAGCTCCTATTCCAGGTAAACCACTCATGTTGTACATTGCGGCTCAAGAGAGGTCAATTGGAGCCCTGTTGGCGCAAAAGAATGAATCACATAAAAAGCAAGCACTTTACTATCTAAGCCAAACTCTTACTGGTCCCGAACTAAACTACACGCCTATAGAAAAGACATGTCTTGCACTTGTTTTTGCTATTCAAAAGTTAAGGCACTACATGCAAGCGTTCACGGTTTATCTAATTGCACGAGCTGACCCGGTAAGGTACGTTATGTCAAAACCAGTCTTGACGGGGCATTTGGCCAAGTGGGCGTTACTTCTCAATTAATATGAAATCATCTAAACTCCAGCAAAGGCGGTTAAGGGGCAAGCTATTGCAGATTTTCTAGCCGATCATCCAATTCTAGCATACTGGGAAATTTCAGATGACTTACCTAACGAACAAGTCTTCTTCACTAACGTTTCTCCTGCTTGGATGATGTTTTTTGACAGATCAGCTCATAAAGATGGGGCGGGGGCTAGCGTAGTCTTCGTATCACCCGAGAGACACGTCTTACCCTATTCATTCTCTTTAAGTGAACTTTGCTCGAACAACGTTGCAGAATACCAGGCTTTGATCATGGGCTTACAAATAGCTATGGAGATGAAGATATCGAGCTTAGAAGTATATGGTAACTCCATGTTAGTAATCAACCAATTGTTGACCCACTAGGAAGTTAGGAAGGATGATCTAATTCCGTACCACCAAATGGCCACGCAATTACTAGAAAGTTTTGACTTCGTGACACTGGAGCATGTGCCAAGAAAAGACAACTAAATGGCAGATGCCTTAGCCAACCTTGCCTCTACATTGGTGTTGACAAAAGATGAAGTGGTGAATTTTCCAGTTTTCCAACGTTGGGTCGTTCCATTAACACTTGGGGCATCGCAAGAAGGAGTCAACGTTATCTCAGTATTGTCCATTGACGTTGACGACTCGAGGCAGCCTTTAATTGATTACCTTGAGCATGGAAAACTGCCAAATGATTGGAGACATCGATCAGAGGTACAGCGTCGGGCACCTCGATTCATTTATTATAAAGAGATTCTATACCGTCGTTCATTCGAAGGCCTGTTTCTAAGATGCTTGGGAGAAGAAGATGCATTCAAAGCAATGGAGGAGGCTCACTTAGGTATTTGCGGAGCTCATCAATCAGGGCCAAGGCTACATTTCCAAATAAAAAGGATGGGCTACTATTGGCGACTCTGGTTAAGGATTGCATGGATTATGTGAAGAAATGCCAAGCATGTCAATTTCATGCCAACTTTATACATTAGCCGCCGGAACCGCTACATCCTACAATTACTTCATGGCTACTTGATGTGTAGGGTCTTGATGTGGTGGGACCAATAGCACCCAAATCTTCTGATGGTCATTCTTACATTCTGGCAGCAACTGACTACTTTTCAAAATAGGTAGAGGTTGTACCCCTAAAAGAAGTAAAGAAAGAAAATGTAGTGAGCTTTATCAAAATAAACATTATTAATCGATATGGTGTGCCACGTTACATCATCACAGATAATGGAAAGTTATTCTCGAACCAGTTGATGAACAAATTGTGTGAAGACTTTGGTTTTAAACAACGCAACTCTTCAATGTACAATGCCCCAGCCAACGGTCTTGTGGAAGCGTTCAACAAAACTCTTTGCAACCTGTTAAAGAAAGTTGTTAGGAGAACCAAGAAAGATCGGCATGAAAGGATAAACGAAGCATTATGGGCTTATCAGACAACATACTGGACGCCTACTCAGGCTACACCATAAGGCGTGGAAGCAGTCTTGCCTCTAGAAAGTCAAATTCCATCATTGAGGATGGCCGTATAAAAGGGATTGACAGATGAAGAGAATGCAAAGCTACGTCTCCAAGAGTTAGAAGCACTAGACGAAAAGAGACTCGAAGTGCAACAACGCCTAGAGTGTTACCAAGCTCGGCTTTCAAATACTTTTAACAAGAAGGTTCGCCCCAAGTATTTCCAAGTAGGAGATCTTATCCTCGCATTACGTAGACCTATCATCACAACACACAAAACCGGAAGCAAGTTTACTTCGAAATGGGATGGGCCCTACGTAGTACAAGAAGTGTACACAAGTGGCGCTTACAAGATCGTAGCAGAGCACAATTTATGAGTTGGCCCTATCAACGGAAAGTTCTTGAAACAATACTACGCATGAAATGACACCAAGCGCCTGGCCTGCATGACACCAAGTGCCTAGCCTGCATGAAATGACATCATGTTCCTACTACGGCACCAAAAAAAAAAAAAAAAAGGCTCGTTGGATTGAAAACCCGAAAGGGCGGTCCAAGCAAAAGTTAGAGCACAAGAAAGTCCGTTGAACTGAAAACCTGAAAGGGCGGTTCAAGCAAAAGTTAGGACACAAAAAAAAATTCCTTGAACTACGTGATGACTTGATCCCTTGTAACACCTCGACTCCAAATTTAATTACCCATTTAAATTATTTAAGTGAAATTACGAAATAACCATTCAGGTAGGGGTAATTTGGCCATTTATTATTCAGAAGGAATTTGGGACAACGAGTGGTATGGTTATATAGTTCGTACTGAGATGAGTCTGTAGATACGTAGTGGGCTCGAATCGGAGTTGTAACGAGAGAGATGATCAAAATACCCTCAGTGGCATAACCATAAATATTGCGAAAAGGGTTTGATAAAACTCAAAAAAACCCTCACCCCTCTCTCTCTCTCTCTCTCTCTCTCTCTCTCTC